ACCATTTTATGTACATGAAATGGAAAATCCGATATAATAAATGTCAAGTGACTGAGCGCCACTGTCCGCTTTTAAACCAATAGAAATCACTTATTGACTTTTAAAACCGAGGTAAATTATAGCTGAGCAAGATTGAAAGCAATCTGTTTCCAAACTTGTTAATTGAATTTAAACCTTTTTATAGAGATAATTTTCAATAGAGTGCAATTATTCAAAGTTGTTTAGCTATTACTTATTTTTAAAATATTTGAAATATAGAAACCGTAACCATTACCAAGGAAATCACATGCGATTCCACTGTTGAAAACCTACTATTCTTTAAGTTTTACTATGTTTGGGATGTTTTTATGTACAAATAAGAATTTTGTTCATCCAATTTATTTGCTATGATATTTATATGTAAACTATCAAGTAAAACTGGAAATAAGTATAGTGAAAATTCCCATTTTGCCATTTGGTAAATAAAGAAGGAACGAATTGAGCGAAGAAATTTCTTTTCAATTAGTTTTTCATCATGGCTCTACACTAATATATATGATTTACAATAATAATATAATACTCATCGAGTGGATACGTTACCTAATAATTACATAATGACATTTAAATTAACACTGAGTAATTGGCAGAAAGAGGATTATTAATATTCAAAGTAATCAAGAAGTTGCTATGTTGCGTAATATAAGAAACAGAGAAGGAATAGAATTTTACCGGATGGTCAATAGGATAGTAGTTACGTAAGAATCAAGAGATGAATGTTGAGAAGTTATAAGGCTCAAAAGCGATAGAAACAAAATTACAAAAATTTTAAAAATAAAATAAAAATGGAAGAAGTATGAAAAATAGTTCTTCTGACGGAAATTTTATACTGAAGGCCAGGGTAGAGAAAGTGGTTGTACGAATTTCTTTTGGATGCAAAGGTCAGGTTTGTGAACATGGATTGCGATGGCTTCCGCAATGTGCAAAAGGCGCACTCGTAAACCATGTGGTAGATTTGATTGAATATTGTAGATAACCTTAAAAGCTTTATTCACTTCGACTTGATGACCTGTGTCAACCAAGTGAGAGAGAATAGAACTTTTAATCACTTTCACCTGTCCTTTGCTTAGCCATGTTGGATGATGTTCTGTAATGCGGTGACGGACCTGTCGAATTGTACGCCCTATGTAACTGTAATCTTGTTTCTATCGCTTTTGAGCCTTATAACTTCTCAACATTCATCTCTTGATTCTTACGTAACTACTATCCTATTGACCATCCGGTAAAATTCTATTCCTTCTCTGTTTCTTATATTACGCAACATAGCAACTTCTTGATTACTTTGAATATTAATAATCCTCTTTCTGCCAATTACTCAATGTTAATTTAAATGTCATTATGTAATTGTTACGTAACGTATCCACTCGATGAGTATTATATTATTATTGTAAATCATATATATATATATATATATATATATATATATATATATATATATATATATATATATATATATATATATATATATATATATAGTCAAAAAATCTGTTTAGTTTTAGCTGTCCCGACAAGCAGTTTGTTTGATATAAAAATAAATGTACTTGACATACGAGATTTTGTTTCAATCAGTACTTTTTTTTCTTTTGGTTTATAGTATGTGTATTCGGTTTGTCAATGGATACAGAAACTGAAAATAAACATGCAACTGCGCTTGAAGCAATGCGAGATATACAAAAGTATTATGAAGATGCAGAATTTTAGCTTATCAATTGATTACCTATTATGCATGTACAGTTAACAACTACATATCATTTTTCTCATATTATGATAATTGTGAAAGCTTTTTTCCAAAATGTGGATAATGTAAATAAGAATTATTATATCTTTATTTCCACACTATGTATAAAATTGTTTCTTATTATTTTATCGGAAAACTTTGAAGATAATACATAATGCAAATGAGTGAGGATGAAAAATAAAATGAAGAAAACAATTCTCTTCCGGTAACTCGTAATCAACCGGATTTCTTTTATGCATGTTATGTAGAGAATCTCTTTAGTTTACCTAATCATAGTATGTTGGTCAGTGTGAAGATATCTAGTCTACACAGTGACGACTAGAGCCTTTTATAATTCATTCTAAAACCCTAGGATTTTTAGCCTTTATACTTCTTGATAAACTTAACATCTTTTAGAGCATGTGTGACTAGTTTCTTTTTCCAACCCAATTAGTTTGTTTATTGTTCCAGAATATTCAACTGATATAATAGTCAAACTGAAGATTTATTTTGGACTGACATCAGGTAATGAACTGTTGAATTAATTGGAATCTTGGTATTAAACCATTATATAAAGAAATTAAGTGCTTCCTAGTCGTCGATAGATACAAAAAAAATAATCGGTCTACGACCAAAATTATTCTCGAACCTGTTTAGTGTTCATAAACTATTAAAACTAACTAGTGATCACTCGTGGAAATAAATAACATTTGAAACACAAATTCTGTTTTTCTATTTTTCGTAGTATTTTAATTTGTGTTAAGTTGATAAATAATGGAAGTATTATAAATTTCTTTAAATCACTTATTGTTAGGTAGCAATTACATATGCTTAAATTCATCATTACAATTTAATTGGTTTTCTCCATGTGCTGGTCTGAGTAATATTCGGGAAAACTGGTTAGTCAAAAACCATATTTTTCCACAAAGCTGTAGATGTGTTTGAAGCCCTTAGTAAAAGTTCTTAAAAACCAAGAAGACGCTGAAAATGCCTCGAGTAACCAGTGCTACTCAAAAACTTAAACGAAGGTTCTAGAACAAAAGAACAATATCCTAACTATCTTGGATGGACAGTTGTCGAATTTGCCATCAATTTCAGCACGTCCAACTGTAGGATCTAGAAGCTCTTGGTTACAGATAAATACCCTCGATTCCCATACACAAACTGACCTTCAAAGTAAACTCCTTCCATACTTCTTGTCTTCTCTTTCTCGTTCAAGTTTTAAGAGATGAGACGCTCGAGGACTAAGAAGTGGTTAGGAATTCGTCGCAAAGAATGAGACTGGTGCATCTTGTAATCACCGACATAGAATGACGTCCTTATCCTTCAGAAATGTTCATAGTAATGAAGATAAATTTATAATTTGTACCACTATTGATTAAATCGATTCACGTATAGTGAAAGCCAGAGCGGCTTATGCCAATCTGGGCCATCTTTGGTGCCTTCGTGATGTCAGTCTGGCTGTAAAAGGTCGGATCTACAACTCTCTATGCTTGTGAAACCTGGCCTCTCAGAGTTGAGGATGTCAGACAACTCTCTGTGTTTGATCATCGTTGTCTCCGAAAGATTGCTGATATCCAGTGGCAACACCATGTTAGTAATGCAGAGGTTCGGCATCGTGTGTTCGGGTGCAGAGACGATAATCCAATTGGTGCCACCATCTTGAAACATCGACTTCAGTGTATGACATGTTGTCGTGGTATGAAAGAAAGCTGCAAACGGCTGGCTTCTGTTGGTCCCTCACGACTCCCTGGTTGGGGTCCGAGAGATGGTGCAACTTAGTGGCTGGAGACGTTATCAGATATGGCTCAGAATAGAAGCCAGTGGCGATCTTGCTGTAACCTTCTTTTACTTTCTTCATAAAAAGTGGTTGTAACTTCTTTAACTGAAATTTTTCCTGGTTGTACCTTTCGGTTCCCCCCATTATTATTATTATTATTATTATACTACCATACACTAATCTGTGGTCGTTATCGTTCTCTTTTTTCCTTTATTCCTTCTTATACTCACCTTACATTCTTTTTCTCTTCCCATTCTCATCGTTATTGTGTGGTCCATATATATCTAGTGCCCCTTGTACCAATATTTATGTGTTCAAACAAATAAATAAACTATTGAAACCCGGTTTTAAAGTTTTTTTGCTAGAAAAGTCAGCTTTTCCGACTCTCAAACAGTTAAATGATATTTGTACTGTATGGTTCAAGTGAATGCAATTACTGGTATTTATCATAGTTTTTTGTAATCTACATAATGAAATGGATTGTGTTCCGTGGCTGTAACAATAATAACTTTCGTAATAGTATATATAGTATGTTGTTGCAACACTTCATTCCTTTTGTATTATTATCAGCATTTATGTTTATATTTACTGAAAGCTGAAATATTATGTTCGCGTTTGTGGAATAAGGTATTTTAAAATATTCTCAGTTTGTGACATTCTTGTGGGGGGATGAATGGTCTCCAGAGCTCAGTAATTCAGGACCTGTTCCACAATTGCTGTTGACCTTGAAATAAACTAGGTTAAAGTGTATGATCAGGCATCGACACAGTTTTGTTAACCACTAGTGCAGATTTCACACCTAACCCGACAAAGATTTTCATCTTTACTCACGATGGTATCGGTCCACACAAAATATTGGGTTACATTATATTGGAGGCATTGTTAGATTGTCCTGAATTCAGTTGTATATAAGCTATCAGACATCTTCTTTGCACTGTTTCACGTAAATATGGGTACTTGTGTCTAATGTAAAACACGAAAAGTAAGAGATATTTCCTAAGGTAGTCAGGGTGGAAAACTAGTAAAAATAAAATAACGAGTTTTAGAAATCTTATTTGACTCTTTTAATCGGCTTTATATTATTTTATAAGTTCTAAACGAAAAAAAAAACAAGGGATCTTTTGGTTTTAATTAAATATACATGTTGTCCTGTCGTTTATCATTAATATTTAATCTGTTTGTAGTATCAACGTCTTACAATTTGTCGTTTAGTCAGATGTGACGTAGAATTTGGCACATTTGTACATCAGTTTACCATACCACATCAGCACAGAGAGATGTGACAGTAGTGTATGTAGAACAGGTATTAGTGGCAGTAGAAAGGATATTTGACAATGTGAACAAATTGAATACATTATTCGGTAGATTAAAACATGAACATTTTTATTAGTTTGGCATATTCGTCCAATGTTCTTTTTCAACTTTGTAGAAACATATAAACTTCAGTGTTATGCTGCTTTATAATTATTATTTAACTACCAAACCTTTGGCAGCTAAACGCATTTGTGGTCGCCTTTCAGTATACAAAGTGAGCATTATCATAAAAAATATACCTAATGCTAAGACAAACGGCATCATTATTTGAATAACTGGTGTTAGCTTTGATAAAATTCTTGCTAAAGAACTTTGTGGCAAAACATCTATATAAATTATACCTGACCAATCAGGATAAATATCTGAACCATTGGGAATCGAGTACGCATCACCATGTATGCATATTAAATTATGTAATTCTTTATGCTTTGTCTTGTTCAATGATACGGTCTCAGCTACAATAATATTATAAGCTGGATCAATTCTATATCGTCCACGTGTTTCACGTATTAATGTTGTAAAATTGACTTGCTTTAATGTAGTAACTAGATATCGTAATGGTGTTTTATGTTGAATAATAGTAGTGAAATTATATGCAGTTTTAATTAACTTTATTAGCTCATCAAAATTATCTGGCGCATAGAACCACGTTATTGGTTTTTCTACTGAATTTCTTATTGGACATGTGATTATGAGGGGTTCACCTTCATTTACTTGTATCGCGATTCGTTTAGGAAGACGCGACAGTTTATTGAAAGGTGATTTGAACAGTGTAGTAATATTGCTAAAATGAGCAAAAATATATGCATAGATTAACATAATTTTCATTGTGTAAAGTAGATATTGTAAATAATATGAATTGACTATTGAATCGTTCTAAATCGTAACACAATCTTTCACCCCCTACTACGTTTTAGTTGAATATCTACCAGAAAACTCAGAACAAATATTTCGTAGTAGTACCTAATAAATGAAGCATACCATAAAGCTAGTTAGTGTGTAGCGAACAGAATGGATGAGAACATACTTTACTCTGTAAACTAAATTAGCAAGAATAATGTCTTTTTATCAAAGTTTGTTGAACGTTATGTGTAACCTGACATGAGAAAATAATGAATAGGGTTTGTGTATGGGTAAAGTATCACTTATTGTAGCCTGACAGCTAACATATATTTGAAACGTTCTATCACTTTCATAAATAGCTAACCTCTCTCCGCCATTTTGTCACTATTCTTTCCTTATTCTACAATATTTTACTCCTACCGTACTGGACATTTCTTATCCTACTTAATTTTGATCCCAATCCTATTATATTAACAGTCGCACTGTTAGCCTTACTACTCATACTTAGGTTCGAATTTGAATACTATATGTTTTACTAGTTTCGTTGAAGATTTCATTTTCAACTTAGTCTTCATGTAATCGTGAATCACTGTAGTCATAATAATCAACACATTCTTAGTTATACCAACATTATAAAAACTTATGTTTTGTTTTTGGACCACTTAACATTAGTGTATCAAACCTATTCTATATACACCTCTCAAGTTGTACTTTAAAAAATTGTTGCAACTTTTCAATATAGCACTGTGTAAATGTAGGATTTAATTTTACTTAATACTTTGGTCTAATTACAGAAGCATTGAGGATTGTACTCGAGACTTTAAATAAACTTTTGTAAAATACATAACCAACCAATGAAATCAGTCACATATTTCAAGTTTTATCTACAGTTGAAGCGCACTTACTTAAAAACCTGGACATTCTCTTATACATGATCTTATCATTAGTTCACTCGGTCTCAAATTAATTTCCTTTGGTCCATATTTCAACATCGAACTTCTAATTAAGTGAGAACGGCAAGGCAAACCTGGTCCACTGAACAGTTTTAAAACTTCTTCAGTTTCAACAGCTAACATATGTGGTCTGATTGAATAGAATCGATCAATGGGTGTGACGTGACAAGTACCAATTCTTATTTGCATGCCACTTTAGTAAATGAAGAGTTTTCTTTTGGGGTGCATGGCACACACTCTGACCATGAATTCCAGTATGTATATAGTTTCAAGTTATTGTTGATCAAATGTTGTGTAACTAAGGATTTTAAGTCATCATCACCATTGGAAGTGTTTCCTGAAATAAGTTCCGGTTTCTCTTGGATAATTTTCAGCTGTGAAAACAGATTTCGAAATGGTTCGTCTCCAGGCTTTAACACTGTTACAGACCATGCTCTAATTACTTCTCCTTTGAAAATACACCTGTAGATTCCTGTGTGCTCAGACTTTGCATTTTTTATGCGGAAGGTAGTTTCACTAAGGTGAGTATTTGTTGTACTTGTTTTTATCACGCTTGTCGGTTGACTAGGCTTACTAACCGTAAAATACAATGATGACAAATTTCGTGCTTTCAAGTTAGCCTCTGTGGTAACTTCTGCTTTCAAGTGACCATCATCATATAGCAGAGGGAGAGCAATTAAAAGCGAAGAGATGTTTTTCCAAATTCGTTTGCGTAACCTGGCAAAAAAGCAAATTAATAACAGTCGCCTACATCAGTTTGAACAAATAAGGATTATATAAAATGGGCGTAGTGTGACACTAGATAGCTTTGAATTATGTTGTGGCATTATTAGTTTCTCTTAGTTACAACACGCAGTACCTTCCTAATAACGATAAAAACAAGTCTTAGGATATTTTAAAACGTATGTATCGTTAATTAGCGTGAAGCCAGTATGTTACTCTGCCTTACAAGGTAGTTTGTTTATGAAATAAGACATTTGAAGATGAATTTATTAATGTAAAAAATCACAAGTAGTACGTAATGGTACGCGACACATTCTTATTATTTGTAGTAACTTGTTTATTCATTGATATACGGAAAAGCGCACAACAGTAACAGGAAGATGTAGGGGTATCATATAGTTCCTATGGTTCCCAAAATACAAAAGTACGCTTAAATACTGATGATACGATCTCGGTTAACTTCTAGCACCCTAACTTGAAATAGTTGCTAGAATCAAAGGATACGCAAATATATATGCATGCTAGCAAAACACTGGTTTTTACACTGACTTATAAAACTTTACTGCACGAAATTTTACCACGGTTAAGTTTGAATCAAACATTTTTCCGAATCAAACATTACTAATGTGATTTAGTCATCTACTTTGTGAGTAGTTTGAAGTATGCTATCACAGGAAGCGTAAAAATTGTCCCACTCAGTTTTATGGATGGACTGATAACAACCATGTATGAAGTTAACTTATGTTGACACTCTTTGGATTGCTATCCTACCTTCATTCTTTTCATTATTATTTCAAAAAGTAATCATGAGGCCCTGTTAGGTTCTTTACCAATGAAACTTGAAGTTCGAATAAATATATATAACAATGAAGTCTCAAAATATTGTACCGTACCTTATCCAGAATGATAGACAATGATAAAAATTCATTGAACCACTCATATATTCTAAGCTTTTGGAGTTAACGGATACCCATAAGCTTTTTAAGACAATGTCACAGAGCATCAGGTAAGGTCTCAACATTCTTAAGCAGTTAAAGAGGAACTTAACAAATAAAGCGAAAGATCGTTTTTGGAATAATTTTATTTTGGGGAGGAATGATAAGCCATCCGAGTCGATTCACTGTTTCGATTAATGCAAGATGGTTTCAAAAATATAAATGTGCACTTCATGTAATATTGTTTGATCTTAGTGTAAATATTCTAAGCTACTTTCTAATTTGTGTCTAGTTCACCCATTGTAAGTGTAAATAACGAGTCATTGAAAATAATATTCAATCCAAAACTTTTAAGTTATTCAGGTTTACACCAACTCCGCCTGGAGTCCGTCCGGGGGCTACTGCCGGTCCGAAGCCCAGATAAAGGAGGAGGGTTGGGCATGGGGTTAGCGTCCCCATCCCGTAGAAAACTAACTCGCTAAAAAACGCTAACCAGAAAAAATTATTCAAACCTTTTAAACTCTGCCCTGGGAGTCAGAAGGTCTTCATTTAGAAGAATTATGACGCCTCATGATGAAAGCCGAATTCCTTCGGAAGTTACGAGGCCGATGCCCCTTCTGACAACCAGAGCAACCATTTATTTAGGTACATGGAATGTTCGTACAATGTGGGACACCGGGAGAGCCTTCCAAATTGCTGCAGAAATGAGAAGATACAACCTAGAGGTACTTGGGATCAGTGAAACACATTGGACACAAGTTGGACAACAACGACTAACTACAGGAGAGCTCCTGTTATACTCCGGCCATGAAGAAGAAAATGCACCACATACACAAGGAGTTGCATTGATGCTGTCCAAACAAGCGCAAAATGCACTTATAGGATGGGAATCTCATGGACCAAGGATCATCAAAGCCTCGTTCAAAACAAAGAAAGAGGGCATTTCAATGAACATCATCCAATGCTATGCGCCTACCAACGACTACAATGAAGACGCTAAAGATCAATTCTACAATAGGCTGCAGTCAATCGTCGAGAAGTGCCCAACAAAGGACCTGACCATTCTGATGGGAGATTTCAACGCCAAGGTTGGAACGGACAACACTGGATATGAAGACATCATGGGACGACACGGACTGGGAGAAAGAAACGAAAATGGTGAGAGATTTGCAAATCTATGTGCCTTCAATAAGCTGGTCATAGGCGGCACCATATTCCCACATAAACGCATACACAAAACCACATGGACTTCACCGGATCACTCTACACAAAACCAAATCGACCATATTTGCATCAACAAAACGTTCAGGAGGACTATAGAGGACGTGAGAACCAAGAGAGGAGCTGATATAGCATCAGATCATCACTTGCTGGTCGCCAAGATGAAATTGAAACTCAAGAAGCACTGGACAACGGGGCGGACAATATCACAAAAGTTCAATACGGCCTTTCTTCAGGATACTAACAAACTCAACAAATTCAAGATAGTCCTCAGCAACAAGTTCCAGGCCTTTCATGATCTACTCAATGGAGAAGGAACTACTGTGGAGAGCAACTGGAAGGGGATCAAAGAGGCAATCACTTCAACATGTCATGAGGTCCTGGGTCACAAGAAGCACCATCACAAGGAATGGATCACTGTTGATACACTGGATAAGATTCAAGAAAGGAGGAACAAGAAGGCAGCAATCAATACCAGTCGAACAAGAGCAGAAAAAGCCAAGGCACAAGCTGAATACACAGAAGTAAACAAACAAGTGAAGAGGAGCATCAGAACCGACAAACGTAAATATGTGGAAGATTTAGCAACGACGGCGGAAAAGGCTGCAAGAGAAGGAAACATGAGACAACTGTGTGACACGACAAAGAAACTCTCTGGAAATCGCCGCAAACCAGAACGACCAGTGAAAAGCAAGGAAGGCGAGGTAATCACCAACATTGAAGAGCAACAAAACAGGTGGGTAGAACACTTCAAAGAACTCTTGAATCGACCAGCTCCACTGAACCCACCCAACATCGAAGCAGCACCCACGGACCTCCCAATCAATGTTGGCCCACCAACAATTGAAGAAATCAGCATGGCCATCAGACAAATCAAGAGTGGCAAAGCAGCAGGACCGGACAACATTCCAGCAGAGGCACTAAAAGCAGACGTAGCGGCAACTGCAAGGATACTCCACATTCTCTTCAATAAGATTTGGGATGAGGAACAAGTACCAAAAGACTGGAAAGAAGGACTTCTGATCAAAATACCGAAGAAAGGCGATCTCAGCAAGTGTGATAACTACAGGGGCATCACTCTTCTCTCAATACCGGGAAAAGTCTTCAACAGGGTATTGTTAAACAGGATGAAGGACTGCGTAGACGCCCAACTTCGTGACCAACAGGCAGGATTCCGTAAGGATAGATCGTGTACAGACCAAATCGCAACTCTACGGATCATTGTGGAACAATCAATTGAATGGAATTCATCACTCTACATCAACTTCATTGACTACGAAAAGGCATTTGATAGCGTGGACAGAACAACACTATGGAAACTTCTTCGACACTATAGCGTGCCTGGGAACCTAGACAATATAATACGGGATTCCTATGATGGATTAAACTGCAAAATCGTGCATGGAGGACAGGTCACAAACTCGTTCGAAGTTAAGACCGGTATCAGGCAAGGTTGCTCACTCTAACTATTTCTCTTTCTCCTCATGATCGACTGGATCATGAAGACATCAACATCTGAAGGGAAGCATGGGATACAGTGGATATCTAGGATGCAGTTAGACGATCTAGACTTTGCAGATTATCCGGTCCTTCTATCCCAAACGCAACAACGAATGCAGGAGAAGACCACCAGTGTAGCAGAAGCCTCAGAAGCAGTAGGTCTCAATGTACACAAAAGGAAAAGCAAAATTCTCCGATGCAACACAGAATGCAACAATTGAATCACACTTGACGGAGAAGATTTGGAAGATATACAAGCCTTTACATATCTGAGCAGCATCATTGATGAACACGGTGGATCTGATGCAAATGTGAAGGCACCGATTGGAAAAGCAAGAACAGCACATTTACAATTCAAGAACATCTGGAACTCGAAACCACTCTATGTCAACCAACCAATACCAAGTTCAGAATTTTCAATACAAATGTCAACACAGTTCTACTGTATGTGGCGGAAATCTGGACAACTACGAAAGTCATCATCCAGAAGACACAGGTGTTTATTAACAGTTGTCTACACAAAATACTTCGGATCCGTTGGTCAGACGCTATCAGCAACAACCTACTATGGGAGAGAACAAACCAGATTCCAGTAGAGAAAGAAATCAGGGAGAATCGCTGGAAGTGGATAGGACACATATTGAGGAATGTACCGAACTGCATCACAACGCAAGCCCTCACATGTAGTCCTCAAGACTAAATAAAGGGGGAGAGGAATACGAAGGAACACATTACGCTGGGAAATGGAGATAGACATGAGAAAAATGAACAAGAATTGGATGGAGCTAGAAAAGAAGGCCAAGGACAGAGTTTGTTGGAGAATGGTGGTCTGTTGCCTATGCTCCATTATGAGTAACATGCGTAAGTAAGTAAGTAAGGTTTACACCATCTTTGATTATTGTATGCTGTAAAAGATATACCTGGTTTGTGAGTTCAAACCTCACAGCAAAGAGGTAGGTAGAGTTAATGCCTGTACTTTTTTCACCTAACTTTGTTTCTTAAAGCAAGTACAACAGACACTTCGTTTCCAGCAATGAGACAAGTGAGTTATAGAATTTTTCAAAAGATAGTTTTGAGCCACTCAATATTTGTTGGAGCCATCCTCCGAATAGCATAGTTAATGCTATACAAAACTGGTGTCTCAGCACAAGCTCACAGATGTATATCTATTTTATCATACTTTACATATTCATTGAGGTCCGCTCACGGTCAGATCGGTATGAGTTACACAGAACCCGTACCAGAATGCACAAATCACTAGCTCTGAACACATTATCTCTGGTCCGGACAACGGTCAAGTTTCACAAGAATTGTAACAGTACTTCCTTACATGGGAGAACTTAGTGACCCATATGAAACCTTACTCCGTCAACTCTTAGACTTGATTATCAGACTGCCTTTATTTCATGTTTGACTTATTTCTGTTTATTGCCCATTCCTTTCATCATTAGATGCACACCCATTTTGTGTGCTTAGTCAGTCGTTTTGTCACATTTCCTCTCATTTTACTCTGTTACAAACTCTCTAACACACACCGTCACACCCTATCCCTGAGGACACAATATGCCTCTAGTGCAGACATAAACTTACTAAAGGTTAGGCGTTGCATCATATACTCTTTTTAACAACATCCTGCATATTTTATTGATTCGCTAGGTTTATATGAAATACCAATTTACATATTATTTTACAAAATAAAAACACGTACCGCAACCGAAAATGACTTCTCAATTTGCGAGCGAAATAAAAAGTATGAAGTTAAGAGTACATACCGTAGACGAATACGTTCCAGTGAGGTAGGATACGGAGCTACAAATAAATTAGTATCACTGGCATCAAGATTTTGAGTACTAGTTGTTTCCACCCCCTGAACCAATAAACCATCTTGACAACGCCAAGCTCGCACATTTCTTTACCTTCGAAGCATTTGGAACATACATTGCAACTTAAAATAAGTCCATCGCCTTCTGAAAGCAAATAGCTTTCGTAAACAGTTTGATGAAATAAGCTTGAGCAATTAAAATAAACGTCCGAACTTTTGTAAAGTATAGCATGAATGTGCGGTCGAAGAAAAAACAATGAAATCAAAATAGTATCAATCGGTAATAAAAATTCGCGAAACAACATTCTACCCGGTCGTAAGAACACATTAACATATGATAACTTTTGGATTGTTGTAATAATTTCAAAATTCAATCTTTAGTCGCGATGAAGTGGAACAAACAAACAGAACGTTTTTGGTCAAGTGGACTTGGGTTGTTGGAAAACGTTGGTTTAAAATTTCTGTCTGAGAGCAAATTTAAGTCTGCCATTAGTCGTCACACAATTGTATGATAACAGAATCGAACCTAAAAAGTGATAGACAATAGCGACAAGTATTGAAAGCTGGATGTACTATCGAAGAGATAGTCAACGCAAACTTATTTCGTATTCAGTTTTTGTTGTGATTTACTTTTCTCACTAATTTTCTTAACGTTTAAGATTGTCATTACTGGATTTAAAATCCATGTCAAAAAATAATAACTCGATCTTTGGTTTTTAGTTCAGATTTAGTGTATAAACGCAATATGACTCATTGTTCATCGCTCGCAAATACACTGATGCATGCATTGGCTACTCTAGTTTCTGAGTAAACCAATTTATTCATTACTCCCAAGTAACCTTTTGACTATGTCACTTATTGGCTTATTAACCCTGACCGTTCGTATGTAATCGTATGGGCGCTCATTGTTTATCCTATCCATTATATGTCTTTAACTTATTTTTGGTCTAACTACAAATATTGAGTAATGTTTGAATAAACTGAGTTGACCTACTCGCCTTCTTCACTGAGCGAAATTTCACTTCACTCTCTCCTCTTTTCTTTCTCCACTTCTTTTCTCTAATTTTCTGTTCAGATCAATGGGTTTACGAGTCCAAACCTCATTCTCGAGTTTGACTTGTGTTATTCCGTTATTTTCTAAATTTGATTAAGTCTATAATTATATACGAGGGTAGCTGGGATGTATAATTTGATGACAATCAGCATACGGTCTAACTAAATTTAGATAAAGCGGTATTAAACTATATTAACCCTCGAAAACCCAGGTGGTATTGTGTTGCTTGTGAAGCATTAACACAGGCTGCTAAAAATGTGTCTCGTTTGAGGATTTCAATAGTTAACACCTCACTAAGGGAATGAAACCTCTAGAAGTAAATAATTTGAGATAGCTGTTTAAAATTTTTGAGGACATCTTCTAGGTTAGAAGTTTCAGGTCGAAAAACTACATAAGACACAATGAAGTATTCTTAAGCGTGAGTTGATTTAATATTAAATCACCTTAATCTACCACACAACTAGGCAAATAGGTTCATCGAAAACTGACAGCTCAGACATATCTTCCGCAATGATAGGCAATATCCTTTGAGCGCGTTTAAACGTAAGCTATTATATTTATACCAAAGACCGAGTAATCTAACATACGCATACTTTTTTAGAGCCAAATAAGTCCATGAAATAAACGGCTTTTGCAAGTAATGGACTTTGGTTCTGACCACGTCAATTTTACGAGACTCTAGCGGTAGGCTTAAGGTAAAGCATCACTGCTAGATTGTCTTTCAATCTGGTAAGGGTCCTACCAAGTCAAGACAGATGTAGCAAAAGCGAGTGTCAGGTTTTAAAATGAGCCTAAAAGACATTTTATGTCTAATCAACCTGGATTTCTGATAGCCTGAACAAGAACGTTTCTATCTTCTCACAGCCTTGCTCACACCAGGCCAACAAAATCGTTCTTCAATGAGCTTGATGATTGCTCGGATACCTGGATGTGAAAGACTTCCGAGGTATTGAAGGCACTGCGTTGAAAACTTTTCGACCCGAATAGCCGATCCCCGCCTGTAGATATATCATAAAGTAAAGTTTCCTTACGTTTCTCCACTTGTCTGATTCATAGTTCCAGTGTTGCAGAAGATAACTCGTTCTGTAAATTAGTCTCTTCTTTTTAAAGCTGAGCGGGTTTAAGACTGTCAATGCCTTGGAATCCGTTCAAAGATGCTATACGAAACAGGGCGTCTGTAGCCACACTGTTCAACCCGGAAATATTCTGCATATTTGAGGCAAACTGCGAAATGTAGTCCAGTCTCCGGACTCTTGAATGGAGTGCTTTTCTGGGAATGACCTTGGGGAAAAGTCGGGAGATTGACGGCCAGTAAACAAAGTGAGTTCGCGGACGTCCATGGTGTCAAAAATGCCGTACATCACAACACATGCCTAGGAGTTCCCTGCTGAAAGTACTGTACCCCGATTCAGTGTCTTGCGACCATATCAAGAAGTGTCAATGGTTTTCAGTTGCTATACGCCCATTGTTGTATGACTCTTCCTATTCTCTAACCGGAATCGTCTATGGAGATATTAATATGTGCTTCAATATTCTGGTGTGTGATTGTAGTTGATTTCAAGATACTTCCCTCAAATGACGAGAATGCTTTCATTGCGTTGTCGTCCAAGCCTGCAATTTTCGCATTTCCATGTACTTGACTGTTCACAGTCTCTTGAAAGACACCCAATTCGGTGTGGACCGTTGTTTAAAACTTACCAGGCCACTAAAAGTGCGTGATTACCTGCCTGCAGTTAGTTCTGGGTAATAGAATGACTACCGCTCTATTGTACAGGGAGTGAGTACTTTGGATGTCGGTGGTGTGTCCAAGGAAATCCAGGAAATCGGTTCTAGTCTGACAAATCTGAATGTCTGTGCTATTGCCGTTTTCTGTTGGTATTGGTAAACAAGTTTGAGGTGTGAGAGGTGAGATTTTGTGTATACAAGTGGATAAATTGAAAACCGCTAAATACATCGACATCGAATCGTTTTAAATTTTTCGAAGCACTTCTGAAGTCAAAATGGGTACCTAAAAGTACATAGAATTTCGAGAAATTGACTATAGCCGTTTTACTCATGTCTTTCGTAGCTACCGGTAATTGGTTATACTATTTAACCAAGTCTATTTTGAAGACTCAGTCGTACCTTTTAGGTAGCTGTTATTTCCTGAATATATGGCGGTAGGCAGTGATAGTGGCTGTTCACATTAAATCGTCCTTAACCATGAATTGGCTTCAAACACTGCTATTATTTTTACGGGCCATATGCAACGGGAAAGCACATAGGCTGACTGATGACCAGCTTATTTCCATATCCATTATTTGATCGAATTCGTTTCCTACCAGTTTTAGCTTTTCTAGCAATGTCGGTTTTCGTTCGTATGATTTGAGATGCTTATCGAGCACCAGTTGTAAGTATGGATTACTTTTATGTTTATGTGTGTTTGGACATTACCTTGTAGAGTTATGATCTAGTTCGGTATTCGTATTATTATAACAAGAGATTTAATCCATAAATTGTAGATTTGTCTTGACGTGACTACCTAGTCTATATGATATTAGGTGGAAGTCAAATCATCGTCTACACTGGCTCGTCCTATCACGATGCTGAGCGATATACATCTAGCATTTCCCAAGAACACATTTGAGCTGGGAAGGGATTAATACCTTTGATACAACTGGCAAGTGGCTATAAAAAGTGACCACGCTCTCATGACCGAGCCATGACAATTCGATTCTTTGTTGCCGAGTTCACCAATGCTGACCTGCTCTCAACATTGCGTGTTGATTGCGTATCTTCTCAATAATTATACGCTCAGCTTCAAAGATCGTGTGATTAGGAACCAATACCTGTAAAACTCTAAACTAAGAAATGAAGTTCGCCAAACATATAATTTAGCATGTTCATCAACTGACCGACGGGTAGTTCATGATATCATAGAAGTTCTATACCAGTGATTGGCACTCACACACTGTAAAAAATTCTAGTGAATGGCTTTGCGTAAATCTGTAGTGGCATTGGACAATAGCCACACAATCCACAAAGCTGTGAACACGAGACTACTCAGAAAATAGATATTCAATATTTAACGCGTATAAATACCTAACGATGGAGAAGGCGCGAACAATGAATCGAATGAATTAGAGTTGATCGAATGGCATGGGTCGGCCATGCAGGCGTGGTTCATCTGAATTTTGCCTTATATCTCCTATTCATATTAAATATATTGTTCTTTCTCTAGCCTAAGCTTGTTCTACATCATGTATTGGTAATTGTTACGATACAGTGAGTTGGCGTAGTCGATGGTGTGACTTCCACGTAAGATCTTATTGATTAGGCAGTTATATCATTACAAATCTACAAATTTAGGATTAGGTCTATTATTAGAGCAGCGCTAATGTTATAGTAGACCATAGTTCTACATTGGTGAGCCCATCTAAACAAACGCAACCTATTATTGTTAATCCTTATTTCCACCCTAACCTCAATCGGTTTTTATTTTTATAAACGCAGTATTCTAATAGTCCTTTGATTAATGGTCACATATATTATCGTAATGTTATATCTATTAGTTCACATAACTTACTAGCTCAATCGATAATAAAAGTTGATCATCTATATCAACTAATTAGCTTTGATGGTTCGTTAACAAGCTATAGTAGCATTTACCTGCTTCAGCGATATAGACTTGTTTAAACATCAAGCTCTAGCAAATATGACCTGTTAATAGCGTAAATATTCACTGACTAACAATGCAATCAAGGATTGAATAGTTTATCTGGGTCTAATTCTTAGTGTTCCTTCGCTTAACACCTCATCCTGTTTTAGACTATGCACTATCCTGTAATATCTTTCTTCTGACCACTGCCTGCCTAATTTCATATTCTCGAGTTCCATTGCCAAACTACAAGGATGACACTTCTCTAAAAACATACGATGGCTCCTTCAATGGCGACCACACAATTATCTGAATTCATTCGGTTGTTCTGATCCGAGCGAGTGGCAAAAACGTCAACAGCATCAAGCACCCTGGAATTAATTGCCATACTGCATGTTTTATTCTGGATACTTTTGGATCATTACTA